AGATTTGATAGGAGACCACTGTGAGGGTGCTTCGCTCATACTGTTTTTAGTGGGAGCCTGGCTGGATTTTCCTCCTCCACCTACTGTTGTGGGGATGAGTGTTTGTAACACATTTTAAGGTCATTACTTGCTGTAAGTGTGCAAGGCATCTGACTTCCTTTTGTCCACTGTTTGTGAAGCTTCCCAGCTGGTTTGTTTTTTTAATTAAAATAGGATTCTTGTGTAATGAAGGATGACGTGGCAATACTTTGTTTTCAAACGGGGAGGCTGTTCTCCAGCTTCTACCATGGCTAATGTGGCATCTGTAAGGCTGGACGTCATCTCACGTGGTCCTGGAATTAGATGCATCAGGTCAGACATCTCTATCATCTCTTGAATCTGAAAGTCCAGGTCCAAAGCATGTAGCAACAGACTGAAAATCCACAAATGCAGCCCCCACCAATGCAATAGGCTTGGGGAGACTTCTGTGGGAACTGTAAAGACAAGGCCTGAAGTTGACATTCAAGAGCTGGCTGCACTGAGACGGTAATCAAGATGGGCTCCCATCAGCCAGTCGCATTAAATGAGCTTCTGGTCCATCCTCACTGCCTTTGGCCCTTCGCAAAGTTTCTGCTCAAGTATCAGACGCTAGCCACGCTCACCTCTACAACCCAAAACTAGAGGGATCTATGCCTATTAAAGAGCAATCCTATTCTCCCAGTAATGCATGCTGGCAATTAAATTAATGTTGTGATCCTGATAAAGTTTCCTCCCAAAAGCCCACTGCTATTTCACCTGGCTGTGAAGAACTGTTGCTCTCCTCTCCCAAATAGCAGTAGTCAACACAGCTCTGCATCAGATGAATTTGGAAGTGCATAGGCTGTTAAGAGTACTGTACTGAAATGAATTAACTGCCCCAAGCTGTGTATAGCTAGACAAGGTAGGAACCATTTAAATAACCAAAATGAGAGAAGCTCATCTTGCAAAACTGCTTACTAAAACAAGATGGCACTCAAAAGCAGTAGGGCCCACTTGACGCAGGTCATCATTAATTTATTATTTGCTTCGAGCTTGCCCTTTACAGTTGGACTGGAGGAGGTAAAAGAAAAGAAATGCAGGGGGAGGAAAAAAAGCAACCAAAATAGGTATAAATATACTTGTCCAACATCTCCACCTGGCATATTCAAGTCAAATCAGTCCCAAGGCCATTATGACCATGGGGGTGCCTTAGCTGCTGTGCATCATTAGTGATTCTTCGAAGATAGTGACCTGGTGGCGAACATCTCCTCTCCAGGTATGGATGGCTGCTGGCTCTCAGGGAGCTCATCTACCCTTTGACAGGTCTTGTTTATAGTCCTGCTGGGTGCCCACATGCCCTTCTCACCCCGGTGGAGGTGCCGGTTTAACCCAACCATGGAACAGGCTGTCCTGGTTTACATGGTACCAGACGGCAGACCAAGAGAGGCCTGGCTTGACAGTAAACTGGTATATTATAGTGGTGTTATAATGCAGGGGTCAGCAAACTGCGGCCCATGGGCCAGGGACATTGGTAGGTGGGCGGGCATGGAAATTGGCTGGACTCAGCAGTGGGGAAGTACCAGTCAGGGCTGAAGTATCAATGGCAATTCAGCAGCTGGAGGACACAGCAGAAATGCAATTGGCCATCTGCCTTCAGACCAACCTGCTTTTTTTCAGCTGGCTGCTACTAAAAAGCTGCCGACTGCTTATAAACAGTCCAGGAAAGGGAACATAAAAAGTCACCACTCGTCGCTAACAGAGCAAACTCACCCCAGGAAACCATCAGCTCCTGCAGCTCTAAGCAAGTCAGAGTTGTTGTAGGAGCTAATCCACTCTCTCTGTTTAGGTTAAACCTTGGTGCGCCCACTCCAAAACGCTGAAACACCTGAGCTTTGCAACCGATGCAGGATGCACCCTTCCTGCAAGTCCTGCAGGTTCGAACTGTGACAGGTTCTCAAACAGAGGTGACACCGAGGCAGATGGATGCTGCCACGCAACAGAAGTTGGATCAGGTTTCCTACCAGGCTTGCGGCTGCAGGAAGCATTTTCAGACATTGGCAATCAGGTGTCATTTGATCTGCAAAATAAGACAGCTCTCAGTTGCCCCCTCCCAGCTCCTCACACTGCTCTCTACTGTCTTGTGCATCCACTGACAGAGTTCATTTATCAAAGGCAAAAAGGCCTTTTCTTCAGTGCAACAAACTGCCCTTCACAGGAGATGCACACACATAGAGTGGAAAGCGGTTATTTTGCTCCCGACTTACCAGCCCAGGCAGAAAGGTGTCTTAAGCAACTGCATCCATATGTTCTGCTTATGACCACAGGATGATAAGACCTTTGGAAAAGTCAGATCTTTTTCCCCGACCGTGACACACACTGCAGAGCTGCAAATGGCAAGGAAAGCTCAACTCTATTGTGGCACAGTCCCAAAACCAGCCTGAGGCAGAGGTGAACTGGCCGTGGGTTTTTGAGCAATGCACACTTCCTGCATCCTGCTGACTTGCAAGCCAAAGGGAGGTCATCCTTTGTGCTTCGCTCACACTAATGAAGGCAATGCGGATGATGGAACAACCGGCACCTATGCCAGGTTTAGCAGCCGGAAGAGGCAGGGTATGTGCCTATTAAGGGGCAGTAATGAACATACGGAAGAATCAAGGTTGCAGCATGGTTAAAATGCCTCCTGTCTTTTTAAGCTATGCATGAATTACAAACTAGAAGCAGCCAGGAAATGTGGGCAGGAGCACATCGTGCAAAGTGTCCAGTCAGGGATACTTTCCGTGAAAGAACGCAGTATGCCAATTATAAGCTACATCCAAGGTGGGACTGTCAGAGCAATCCAGTCTAGCTGGGTGCCTGGCTCGTCACCACTCCTGGGAAAACCTAGGACAAAAATTCCTTAGTGAAGAGGCACAGGGAAGTATGAAGACAGACAGTGAGAAGGCTAAAGAGCAATGAAAAGAGCAGTGGCCAGGAGAGCACAGCAGCCACCTCCTGCCTCATCTTACCTTAGGCACCGCAGTATGGTATTTACTGAGGCCAGATCACCTTTTCTGCAGAGGGATCTGATTACAGCCCTGTAAGAAAATCCCTGCAGCAGCACAGTTCCTCACTTCAGTTCAACATTTCTTGGATATCATTTAACTTTGATAGCAGCCCTTAACTCCCTGCAGCATGGCTGCAAAGAGGATGGAGCTGGACTGTTCTCAGGGGGGGCGGATGACGGGACAAGGAGTAATGGGCTCACGTTGCAGCAAGGGAAGCTGAGGTTGGATATTAGGAAAAACTTTTTCAATAGGAGGGTGGTAAGGCACTGGAACAGGTCACCCAGAGAGGTGGTGGAGTCTCCATCCTTGGAGATGATGTAGTTAGGGATGGTCCTGCTTTGAGCAGGAGGTTGGACTAGATGTGACTCCTGAGATCCCTTCCAATCCTCATTTTCTATGATTTTATGATTTCACACATCCTGCCCATTCCTTACCAGGGACCCAGACTAACCTTACCCTATCCCCAGCAGGACAGAATGATAGCGACAAACTGAAGATGCAAGACACCTGCTGTATGACCAGCGCACGGCCGTCTGAAGTCATGCCGGGGCCTTCTTACCAGCCCATAACCTCTCGCTGCCACACCCAAGGAGACACGACAACAGATGTTGAATGAGACGCTGAAGAAAATACCCGACAGCGAAAAAATGGACGTTCCAGCGGTCGAGTCCTTACCACCAGGGACTTGACGAACCGTGGCAAAGGTGCCGATGTCTCAACCGCCTACGTACCAGAGTCGGATGCTCCAAGGAACTAATGAAGAAGTGGAGCTATGCATTGGTTCAAGCACCTGTGACTGTGGCACAGAGATTCAGACTATGCACCACCTGCTGCAATGCCTGCTGCTTGAAGGCACACACATAACGAAGGATCTTGCAAAGTACAATACATAAGCACAAGCATGTGCAACAAAATGGTCAAATGTGGTACAGAGACATGAGAAGACAATGACAACCAGGGGCCCCTTTCTTGTCATGCCTTTTTGTGCAAATCTTTCACAAGGTCACTAGCTGTTCCACGCATGGGGGCTGATCCCAGCCCCACAACTCATGTGCACTGAAAGCAATGAGACCAATCCAAGGAGCTACTTGTCACCTGGGGCACTTCTCAGGGGGAAGAGCAACATCAAAGCACCAATACGGTAAGACAGCAGAATAGGGATGAGAGTGACAGGATGCAAATGACGCACAGGCAACACTTGAGAGTCAGATAAATGAGGACAGGAAAGCTCGCTTTATACCTAGCTCTGGCATTTAGGAAACCAACCATAAAAGGTTTTTATTCTTCCAGACTGCAATTTCTAAATGCAAGGCCATGGGGTAACTGTTACCAGTGAAAAGCTAAATGGTGCAGGGCAATCTGCAAGAAACAGGGTCGGCCGCTGATCCAGAAGTTTAGGAACGACTGCCTTTGAGACATGCTCTGACTACATTTTCTGGCTTCCACAGACTGCTACTGGCATTTATGATTTTAACACTGGAAATGGCACAACATGAAGGGTCAGATTGCAATAACCACTCAGGTGAATAGTGCCTGGCTCGCCTGAGGTCCAAACATCTTTGTCCCATTAGGTTTCCCCACAGATAAAGCATTCTCAATGCAAGTAATGACAGCAGATCTGGCTGCCACAAATCTGGACAAAGGGTGGGATTTTCAGAAGCACCGAGATCTTTTGGAAAGCCAAAGGGATGCATGCTTTTAACTAATTTGGGTGCTCTGGAAAAACCTCACCTTAAATTCTCACTCGGCATCAGCACTTCATTAACATACATTTCTACAAAACACTTTGCTAAAGTATTTTTGCCCTGGATAGATGCTTTGTGAAGACCCGGGTTGTGAAAAACTTGCTGTTTGATAATCAACCGGTAAACGGTTTCCTCCAAGATTCAGCTCTCAGGTTTCCACATTTCTTTCTTCCCTTCTTGCTAGGAATATACAATAGACCGAACTGTTACCTACCACTTCTCCAAAGGAGGCAGCCACCATGTGTGTCACCGGAGCCAGGTACTGGGAAGAGGAGTCACTGTGGAGTGCATATTTCACGTATTCGTAGGTGGCAAAAAATGCAGCAGCTGAAATTAAAAAAAATAAATTAAAAAAATGCTGCCTTGAAGCTATTCCTAAGGTTGCATTAGCAGATTGCTGTTAAGATCCAGAAAAATCTTACCAGCTGTTCAAATCCATAATCCAGGAACAGAAAAATCTTACCAGCTGTTCAAATCCATAATCCAGGAACAGAAACTAAAACATTTCCCCAAAATAGAGCTACCCTTCTAGACAGTAGGGTTCATGGGCACCCCTACTGCCTCCAGGATCAATACTCCCACTGACTGCACTGGGACCAGGCTTTCTTACCGAGATTGTTATTGCAGTGATTTCAGGTTTTGGTAAAGTCAAACACACATGTCTTTTTGGCATAATAAGATGCAAGGAATCTATGCTTTTCTCCTTGGCAGATTGATTAGCTGAGTGTTAGGAGCAGGTACTTTAATTTAACACGTCTGCTAGTTGTTCCAAACAGCAGCACCATCTTCCAGGCTAAAAATCCAACAAATATCTTTACAGTTTACCAAAGAACTGCTGAGTGTTTGAAACATTTATTACACCCTAATCTAATGGACAAGGAAGAATTGTATTTTGTAGTAGGGTCAGTCTCATTGTTTATAAAACCCATCCACCCATCCCAATGGAGTATTACAGAAAGGGGGGGGGAAAAAAGCAAACCAGGAAGAATTTTTTTCATACTAACAAGAATTTGCTTTCTATCACATTAAGGAATTTAAGTTTTCAGTCTTATGCTGCAGCACAAGATAAATCACAGTTTAGATTTTAAAGATGCAAATCCTGAGAAAGCTGGCATCTGTCCCGGAGGGAGGGATGAAGGGGAAAGCAGACTTTAATTGTGCAAGAGGGATACGTGCATCACCTTCTGCTGTTAATCAGAAGATGCTTATCACCTCCAGAGATAACCAAAGCAGGGAAGATAAAGAACAAAAACACTTCATATCATCTTATGAAGGACTTTGGACCCTTGAAGGCGTGAGTGGACATATCTGCAAACTTCTCTCGGTATTCCCAAACAAGACAGCCCCGCGGGGCGTTTTTTTGCTACAAAGTGGAAGTGCACAAACACCAAAGGAACTTCAGATGCTTTCCCCAGAGATTAAAACTATTTGCTTAAAAAGTGCCAGTGCCCAAAGGCCTCCAGAAAGCTGCTTTTTAAAAAAAATGATTTTTCTAGAGAGATGGAAAAGAATGACCCTGGATAGCATTTGACTCAAAGAACTGAGGAGAGCCTAGGGGGATGCACCAGACCTCCTTATTCACGCCTAGTGCCTATAGCCATGAATTAAAGGTGTGTGTGTCCAGGGCAAGAGGCAATGCTCTCTCTTATGCTTGGAAAATTCATGTGATCTTGCAGGTGCTGCTATGGACCAGAAGGAACCGGCAACAAGTGTCCAGGGAAAGAAAGGCCCGAGAAAGAAGGGTTCTCTCTCTCCAAGGTGCAACATGTCCCCAGCACCCTGGTATTTTGAGCACCCAACAACCTTTAACAGATTGGAGAGGCATGGAGGAACTCTCATTCCCATTTTACAGGGAGTGGGGGAACTGAGAGACAGAAAGCCTAGCTGACCCACCAAAGCTGGGGTCAGAGTAGGAAGCTGAACCCGACACTTCCCGAGTCCCACCTTAAGAACTGAAGCATCCTTCCTTTTCAACTAATGCACACGGGCTTATAGGGACAGAGTCAGGGCCTGGTGGCAAACCGGCTAAGGCATCATGCCAGGGCTGCTGATGTTGGCAGCTAAAAAAATTAAGTAGTACAGCACCTGGCACTGCAGGACACTTGACAAACACCTATCCATCTCCTGCATGCCCACAGGCTTCATCCAGATCCCGGAAGCTGCTCCTCCCTGCAGCCAGAGAGAGCCCTGCAAACTTCAGCATGGGTTTGACCACACCAAGCAGCTTGGAGGATTGGGGCAGGGATAACCAGAATCAATCCTTATGCATTAAGACACATGCTTGTATGTGCTGCTGCCTCCCAGATGACGGGGAATGAACAGAAGCATAATCCAGGAATTTTACCATTTGGGAAGGATCCAACAGCAGCAGAAGGGACCCCAGCGTAGATGCCATGAAAGCCGCCAGCCTTCTTGAAGCCCTGGGGACTCTGCAGTCTGGTTTTTATGGTATCCAGAGGGAATAATATCAGATCCACGCACACTCCTGCAATCCCGCCAGCCTGCAAGATGAACAGAGAGTTTACGGTTATGTAGAGAGTGAGATAACAGCATATATATGGATGGGATAAAAACCCACCCAAGGAACAATGTTATCCATCTGCTATAGAAGTGCTGATCTTTTGTGCACAGGCTGGTTTCCCTGATCATTTCTTTTTACTACAAAAAGAGAGTACGAATAAAAACATGTATCTGAAGCATTCGTCCAATTCACACAGCAAGGTCCTAGCAACACTGAACCAGCACAAGCCAACCATTTGACATTGGGACATCCCAATTAGCACTACAATACAGCACAGTATTGCCATTAGCTTTATGAGGTACTGTTCCAGTGTCGAAGCTCGAGGGGAAATGGTTTTTATTCTCCATGAAACGTTTCAAGTTTTCATAGGGGAAAGGAGGGTGGAGGAAAAAATCATGGAGTGCAGAATTTAAAGTCTAAGCGGAAAAAAAACCAACCCATCATTTTTAAATTAAAGTTTTCCAGTTTATGGGGAAAATGTGAAGGTTTTATGATTTTTTTTTTTAAATAGTGTTCTTTCGGAAAAGTTTGGAAAACTTCATGAGGTATCCAGGTTGTAGCCGTATTAGTCTAGACGCAAAAGGAATCAAAACTCGTGGAAGAGGTGATCTCTTTTATTAGGCCAATTAGATGTTTGCAAGCAAATTATTTATTTGCAAGCTGCTAATAAATAAAATAATTTGATGTATTTGCAGCTTGCAAATAAAATAATTTGTTTGCAAATATCTAGTTGGTCTAATAAAAGAGATCACCTCTTCCACGAGTTTTGAAAACTTTGTAAAGAATTTCAACTGATTCTAAGAAATATACGGACAGGAAGATGTTCATGGGAGATGGGGATGCCGTGCAGCGAGGAACCCTATTTCAATATCTGAATGCCAGGTCGGGATAAACAAAAACCCACCCATTCACACTCGAACTGAAATAACCTTGGCTGTTATAATATATCTACTAATGCAACACAAAATACTGCTTTGCTTCGCATTATTTGGAATATCAGGTACATACTAAAATCTACTTTGCGTGTCATAGCAAAGAGCAAATACTGGAATGGGTGTCTGGCTCTACTGAATAACATTTGATTGTGTTTCACTTTGCTTTTCTCCACCAGCATGGAACAGGATTCAGAGAGGTGTTCACTATCTGCTGTTAAAATTTTAATCAATAAAAGTTAATTATTCTTTTAATCTTTTTGGTTATTTTGCATGCATTGATGGTTTCTAGCTCTTCTTCCATCAGAATTCTTATCTGCTCAAAATAAAATGGATCAGATTTAATCTAACCATCTGGCAAAACATGAATCAAAAGTTTACTAATTGCTTCTTTGGATTTCAAACTTCTGTATCTTAAATGTCATTTAAATTCATGAGACAGCTAATAGAGCACCTGCAGGAAAGCGAGAATACCTGAGCACTGACTCCATGGGCAGCAAACCGTAATGATTTTTAGATAATAAGCCAACTAAAGAGCCCTATCAGCAGCATTAGCGTTACTAGGACTTCAACAGCTGGAAAATCTTTGCAGGGAGTTAGATATACCTGTTCAACTCCAAATCCAGCAACACAATTAAATAAAGCCAGGGTCTAATGCCAAGACATTGAACCATGCTATTTCACACAACAGGTAGTGTGTGGCTTGAGCATATTTGAGTGGAAGTACAATTGTGCTGCTAAATATGGAAACACAGCTGTGCACCTCAGAGGCACAAACCCAGCTCTGTACATGTTTTAAACACTGCCAGGCCAGGTTCTTTGGGTAGACGCGATATCTTTTATTAAACCAACTGAGTAGTTGGAAAAAAGTTTTTGCAAGCTTTCAAACACAATCGCCCTTCTTCAGGCCCAAAAGCTTGCAAAGAACTGTTGTCCAACTAGTCAGTTGGTCTAATAAAAGAGATCACATGCACCCAAAGAACCTGGCCTGCCTATGTCCTTAGACCGACACGGCTACAACCAAAAACCCAGTTTTAAAACACAAGAATTAAAAGCAGGGAGAGTATTTGTATCAATGTTACATACATGCAGAAGGGAGTAGCATTCACATTCATAACTGCTCATTTGTAGTTTTGCAGGGGTAAATAGAAGGGGGAAAAAAATCAAGGGGGTGGGGGGGAATATGGGCAGGGTGTGGGCCAACAGATATTGGCCTTACTCAGCCACTGAACTTTTCTGAAAGATGCACATGCAGCCACAAAGGGGCTGTCACACAAGCCAGGGCACGTGCACAGCCAGAAGGACCTTGCTACACGAGTTCAGGATGGAACAGAAAGAAAAGACGCTTCTTCCTTGCAAGCCGTAGCCATAACCAGTCATGCTGCAGACCCAGATCTTCTCTGATGCATGCAAGCCTCTCCACCACATAGCGCTCTCCTCTGAAAACATCCAGCTACAGCCCTATCATCATCCACTGCGTCTCCACTCGAACCCACACCCTACAGTGAACGCTTGCAACCTGCCCCAAGTCCCTGGGGAAGTAGAGGGAAAGATGCCCGGAGGAGCTGGGGGAGAGCAGCAAGACTGACGCTAAGGAATGACATTTCAGGGCTCCCGAGTGACTCAGAAGCAGGAGCCCAGGCACTGAAGCAATCAGCAGAGTTTCAATCTGTTCAACTTAGTTTGTGCGTTGAGCTCTTTTGAGAATCGTGCACTTGAAAATCTGGCCCTGCAGACATCAGACAGGTCATTAACATCCCACAACGAGTTTTCTCAGAAGCCACCGCACTCAGAGGCAGGTGAAGACCAAACCAACAGGTCAGAGGAGTCAGGGCCAGGGCACCCTCAGAGGCAGATTTACTGACCCATGAGTCCTGCACGAGCAAGCGCTGAAGACTCCTGGCTGCAGGGATGAAGTTAAGTTTTGCAGAGCATGCTGCTGCAGGTAAAAAATACTGAAGGCAGACTAATGAAATACTCAACTGTAGGGGAAAAGCAGAGTCAGGTCCTTATTACTCTCCATCAACCGGACAACCCTTCTTCCCACAAGGCCGCATCCGAGTGCTGCTCTTCCAGTTCAACGTTGACAAAACCCTTCCCTCTAACCCAGACCAGGGTGTTGCTCAAGTAGCTCAGATTTTCACTTACGTACAAGGCGGCTGTGCAAGTAGCATGGAAAGATCACACAAAGCTGGAAGGACCTCGAGAAGTCATCTACTCCAGCCCCTGCTTGGGATAGGATCGTCCCTATCCAAACCAGCGTCTAACCTCCTAGCAGAGCTACACCACCAGACCTGGAAGGGACCTCCAGAGGTCATCTAGTCCAACCCCGTCCGAGGCAGGATCCTACCTATTTGCACAAAACATAAAGTCCAACAATATATCAAGCAGCAATACCTTAATAATAAAAGCTGAGGAACAATGCTTTTGCAGTTAAGGGACTTAACCCATCTAGGTTCAAATCTGGACCATGTCAGACGCTCCTTCTCTCACCATGGGTCAGCAAGGTAATCTTCTTGTGCTTTTTAGTATTCCTACCGGGAGATGATGACAACAACGTCCTCTCTCACATAACCCAGATACAACACAAGACATAACACCCTAACCTGCCACAGGTAAAGCAGGGGGACCACCATGGCCAACATCCTGCTGCTGCCAAGGTGTTAAAGTAGGCTGAAGAGAGTCCAGGGAGAAGGCCGCACAGGAAATCAAGGAAAAGGTGTGTCCGTTAGCAAGATCTCTTCGAAGCGTGCTGTTTATTAAAGTTATTAGGATGCAAAATTAACTCCCAGGAGAAACTGCCGTGCACTTTGAATGCATACAAACCCTTCTCTCGCATAGTCGTGAGACAGACTACGCTTTGCAGATGTCACTTAGAGGAAGTTTTCTACACTGATTCTCAGCTGAAGATATAGTTGGCATGTTAGTCTGAAATCAAGCAAAAGGCAGGGTAGCTTTGCACTTTATAGACTAGTAGGCAAAGTACATGGGTTTGGGGGGGGTGCACACACACATGTGCACACGCACACACTCACTATGGAGCGCATATTTCACATTTGTTGGTGGCAAAAAATGGAGCAGCTGAAAAAAATGTGATTGTGTGTGGGGGTGTATGTGTGTGTATATACACACGCACTTACCTTAATGCGATAGAAAGCAAATATACATTATGCACACAAACCTACCTATACGTCATGCACGCTTTCATGAGCCGACACTTGAACTATGCACACCCCCTTATTTATATATAGCACAAGCTTTCATGAGCTGAAGTTCATGCTACACGCACACCAACCTATCACACACGCTTTTGTGAGCTGAAGCTTGCATCACACATACACATATACACATGCACATACACCCCCATCTATAAAGAGCATGAGTTTTCATGAGCTGAAGCTGAATCCACACACACACACTCCTATCTATACACTGCACAGGTTTTTATGAGCCGAAGCTTGTGTCACACACACGCACACAGGTTGGTCCAGCACTTCCCAAGCTTTCCAGCCCGCAGGGACCCCTGCATAGACTCGTGACGCCCCTTGGTGAACACCAGCTCTTCATTTTGCCTCTTCTTTATTTTGCCTGCTGAAGAACAGAGCAGTTTTTCCTGCTACAAAGCCCTCCGAAAGCCCCCAACAACGGGTGGCCACATAAAACCTTGGTGTTTATCTTGCATCTCATGTCTGCACAGCCTCTCCCAACGATGCACCGTGCAGAGGATCTCTGGCCACCCCAGGGTGCCTGGTTGAGAACCACCAGGCCTCTCCTGGTACGGCACCATGCAGAGGATCTCCAGCCACCCCAGGGCACCCTCCAAAAGGTTTCCATCCACCCTGGGGTGCCCAGATGAGAACCACCTGGCGCAGCACCCTCCAGGGGCTCTCCAGCCACCTCAGGGCACCCGGGTGAGAACTGCTGGGCTTCTCCAGCCACCCTGGGGCACCCAGGTGAGATCTGTCAAGCCTCCACTGGCACGGCACTGTGCAGAGGATCTCCACCCACCCCAGGGCACTCTCCAAAAGATCTCTAACCACCCTGGGACACCCTATGGAGACCCGCCAGGCCTCTTCTAGTCTGGCACCCTCAAGAGGATCTCCAGCCACCCCAGGGCACCCTTCAAAAGATCTCCGGGCACCCTCTTGAGACCCCCCAGGCCTCTCCTGGCACGGCACCGTGCAGAGGATCACCCTGGGGCACCCTCTTGAGACTTGCCAGGCCTCTTCTAGCGTGGCACCCTCAAGAGGATCTCCAGGCACCCCGAGGCACCCTTCAAAAGATCTCCAGCCACCCTGGTACACCCTCTTGAGACTGGCCAGGCCTCTTCTAGCGTGGCACCCTCAAGAGGATCTCCAGGCACCCTTCAAAAGATCTCGGGGCACCCGGGGGCACCCTCTTGAGAGCCGCCAGGCCTCTCCTGGCACGGCACCGTGCAGAGGATCTGCAGCCACCCCAAGGCATCCTCCAAAGGATCCCCAACCACCTCCTGGGGCACCCTATGAGACCCGCCAATTAACCCTATTGAGACCGGGCACTCTGGGGCACCCTATTGAGACCCTATTCTGGTGTAGCACCCTCCAGAGGATCTCCGGGCCCCTCCCAGGGACCCCCTGAGGCACCCCACGGAGACCCGCCTGGCTTCTCCTGGCAGG